CAACCTCGGTACAATAATTAAAGATAATAGAAATCCATGTCGAAAGCGCGCCGAAACTATGCAGAAATTTCCGCATTGATGATATTCTTAATTAAGTAAGATAATACCGTAAACACAAGTTTCGTGTTCTTGTGTTGGATGGTGATGTCTTTTTCTGATGTTTCTTTTCTTTATCAACTGATATACCTTATCTGACGTCTTGTGAATGAATTAAAAGATGATTCAGGTTTCTGACATCCTTTATTTAAGTATTATTACAGTAAAATAAAAACAAAAGATGTCATTTGAATTCCCTTCATATACCATCAAGACTAACGGTAACATGCTATCATCATCATACGGAAGTGATATTAATTATATTATATTGCGAAGGGAACATATTTTTCTTGTTTGTTCCTTTCTCTTTTCCGTTTTGATGATTATTTATATAGCAGCTCTGCATGTGCGTTACTCTGTTATCTATTTATAACTGTTTTTTTTATTCTCACGTTAACGTGAGCTAGGCTTACACGATAATGACATCATCAGATAACTTTATATAGCTTCCAGTAAGTTTTCATCATTACGAAAAGTCGTTAAAATACTTTATGGTCATTATACTACTTATCCCGCCAGGCACGTTCAAAGACTTTTGATCGTACGCTGTTTGAAATACAAACAAGAAGACGCTTCAGAGATATAAATTGCCTTAGCATGCCAGGGTACAATTTTAAAATACCATTTATCGGTAGAGTTACTTTTATGACCACATATTATTAATTTTAGAAATAGAATATATCATGTCTATTGCGACAGGAAGGCGAAGAATCTGTGGTATTTCTAATTTCATATTCCGGAAGTGTTGTAAGTCATTTCTGATATTAGTCTGAAACAACTCATCATCAATATTTCCGAATATGAAATAAAAAAAACCCGGAACAGGTATTTCTCCACGCGGTCCTGAAAATCAGTACATAGTATGTATTTTGATACATTTCCTGAAACTAAAAGCAGTTCTTACTAGTCAAAGAAAGTTGGTTTTGGTGGAACGGCTCAGCGAGCGTTATTATATGAAATATGACTTGTACATTCGATCACTACGCGGTAGCGAACGATCAGTTCCACAAGAAAGGTACAACAGTCAGGAGTGATACTGTACAACATATAGTTAATTAAAATCTTACAATACGAAAGCTAATATATAATGAGTTTGACAGCTTGCTATTTTATACACAAATCGTAACCTAATTATCACGCTGTCACATCTGTTAATTAGCTTAGACCCATTGTTCAATGCAGCTTAAAATCAGCGTATTTAAGTAGATATTGTCATTTATGAAATTTTCAACAAATTCTAAACTAAATTAAAGTTAACAAGACAGAAAACAACCGATATAAGTCTACCAGTAAAATAAGCCTAATAAAAAACGACCATTGAGATTTGGTAAAATTCCACCCGTTAATAGAGGTGAAGAAGGATTTCTATAAGTTGTAAAACTCGTTTCCACCCGTTAATAGAGGTGAAGAAGGATTTCTTTAAGTTGTAAAACTCGTTTCCAAGTCCTATTTCAACACTTTTGTGTTGTATTAGATTATACTGTAAACGCAAAAATAAATTAACTAATTTTTATATCAATAGAGGAAAAGTGTTAGATACTTTGTCCTTTGTTAGTTAGCACACAACGTGAGAATTAGGTCGTGAATTAGATGGTTACGTGTTACTCGTTAATGACAGTTAGTTCTAACCTCGGCCCGGCTTAATGTTAGAGTTAGCCACACCATCTCACACCCACCGTTATACTTACTCTCTAAGGAGCTAGGCTAAACACTTCCTGTGATCCATTGCGCATGCCATACCTCTTGGTCCCGTTGTCAATCCCCACGCCACACCTGTTGATTTTGGTTCCCGGAGTTTAAGGAGCCAGTTAATTCTAACCACACCCGGCCTTTTAGCACGTGTTAGGGTTAGACACACCATCTCAAAGCTACCCTTTCTACTAACGCAGGGGATCTCAAAGCAGCTAGGCTAACTACTTCCTGTGATCCATTGCGCATGCAATACCCCAGGTCCAGTGTCCATCGCCACACCTGTAGTTTTGGGTTCCTGTAGTGTGGTAGCCACTTGTATTTGGCTACTTATTATTATATGAATTTGATGTTCTTATACATAATTTGATTTGAACATATTGTCTGAAAACGTGCGAATACGGGGAGCGTCGTTTGCCTTTTTAATCTACTTTGCTGATATCACCGTGTGATGTTAGATATGCCATCTTCTGTTCGAAACAAATGTGCTGTATACTCAATCAGAATATCATAGAATTGGTGATATCACTTTGAATGAGTAAAACTGCACTCCTTACAAATTGTGTTTTATACTTCAATGTCAATGTGTTTTTTAACCATATCACTATCGCAGATGATTATCAAACGGAAAAAGTGTGAAGATGACTTTCATGTTCATATTGAAGTAATGTAGATGAAATTCATAATTCTATTAATGTTTAAAAAGAAAATCCATCTGAATTCCACTTTAGAAACAAATAATCTCTTGAAATATTTAGTTAGTTGAATTTTGTAATGTATGGCCCCTATCCTCCGTATCAGTTATATTTTGTTACAGGTGTATTCTGGCAACCTTGTTGCAAAAGGAAGTACGTTAACATACTTTAAATCAATTCAAGTCTTGTTTACCTCGAACACAAAAGAGTTCTAAGCATTCATTTTGATCCTCTTGCATCTGTGTAATATTGCCACGTTATCAATACAATGAAAATAATTACACTGGTAATGCATAGTAATGTTCACGATTTGATATAAAAACAGACACATTTGAGAAGTATACATGTCCTTACCCTCGATACTCGAAGTGTTACGTCCACTTATTCCCACTTACGCTCTACGACCCCTGTAATATGTTCAGGCAAAATTAAAGTCGCTAATTAAGATATTTGATTGGTCTCCGATTAAAAAAACCCTGACAAATCGCTAGGCTGATAAAATTATTTGATGTACATCAATGGATGAAACTAGGCTTTTAGTATCATCACAAGGCGGTGCATGCATACTGAGCCTTCGATTTTGGCATAGCATTATCCAGGGGTGAAGTGAGCATCACTCCTGTAAAATCCAGGACAACATGTACTACGAAATCTTCATATTGTTTGAAGGGCTGTGAACCATACATGTGCTGTGATTATACATTAGTAGTGTGTATGGTATACATCATGATAAATAATCTACAGTACATGATCAGAACCATCAATGTGCTATTCTAAATGAAAATCTTCATTGAGGCCTCCCCATTAAACAGGAACTCACGTCATTCTTAAACTGAGGTATCCCGTAATAAACAGGAAGTCGATCATTCCAACACTGAGACACATACCCTAATAAACAGGAAATCGATCCTTTATACACCGAGACATACCCTAATAAACAGGAAGTCGATCATTTATACACCGAGACACACCCTAATAAACAGGAAGTCGATCATTTATACACCGAGACATACCCTAGAAAACAGAAATTATATCGTTCGTACACCGATATATCACCTTGTAAACAGGAAGTTGATCATCGCCATATTTGTGAGTTAACAACAGTCATGCAGTCTTGATTTCCCTGCAAACAGTCTGGCCAGTTGTGTACGTGATGGAGGTATTTTACGTACACTCTTAGAGTGGGTTGGCTACTGAAAATTGATGATGGTGAGTAAATTGACAAATATGGCGATGATCCCCTCTCTGTTTACTTGGGGAGACATTTGTAAAGGAATCGTATTTTACTATAGCTCTGATGATTCTTACCATATAATGTCAGCTTTAAATCTCTCCTTTGAATATTTGTGTTTAATCGCTATGAAATGTGTGAAATAATATCTGGGTATACTTTGTGACACTGAGTACAGGTTCGCAGTGCTGATTTCATCCTCGATAATCCAGGGGTTCCACTCACTTTCGCTCTCTAAACCCTGGGATATGTCAAAGCAAAATTGACTGCTCAGCGTGCGCCACCTTTGGATGAGACAAAACTACTAGTTTGATACTTTGATGTACAGTTAAAGAATTTCGAGGTCGCGTAACTGAAACTACCTGTCTTTGAAGTCGGATGTCGCAACTCAGTAATATTGAAAAGGCATGGCGATTGGTCAGGTGTTTTGACCCGAGACCAATGAAATAGCTAGACGCGTGCCTTCAATTTTGCAATGACATATTTCAGAGATACAGAGGACGTAAGTGAACGTAACAACTGGATTATAGAGGGTGTGCCGATGTATACCATAGAAGTGATGTTATAACCCGGGTAGGCACAAAGATTCACTACAATTTGATCCCAATTCCGTCAATGTCTTATATAGGACCTATCTATAAGGATACGGTAGTATTTTCATCACCAGTCGTCATAAACACAAGTACAGTGAACAGACAGCGTCACACTGATTTCATCTTTAGTACTGTTTACAATTATCAGCTAAGACGTACGAAATGCATGGACCCAGTTGCATCAACTTCCATAAGCTTAAGCGCATAGTAAGTGACACAATTTCTAACTAATTAAGCTTTTCAAACTAAAGTGATTTTTTTAACACCTGTTTAAACATTTAAATTCCTTAACAAACACGTTTAAGCTTAAAAATCAACAATTTTAAAGTCTTATTATGTCAGTAAGCCGATGACCTTGATACGGCTGCTGGAAATTAATGTGTAGTATTGGCTACAACGAACTGCTGGACATATTAAAATAATCCTATGGTAATCAGGATCTTAAACCTTGAACATTACTAAAATTATACAAATATTTATGGTTTCTTTCCAAACCGTATGATGTTTTCTTTACTGTTTTCATTCATGTGTTATCATTCAAATAAAGGTACGTGTTCGTGTAGATGCTGGTTTAAATTCCAAAAATATTATAACATGCTTATAAAAGATCACTGATAGAAGGGTCCCATTACCTTTGTGTTAAGCTAATGCTGTTTTAAACAAGTTGGACCCAGTGTTTTAACAAGAAATTGTCTATTGACGACAGCAAAATAGATTTATTGGTCACACACAAAAGGAACATGAGACAGATGTAACAAGTAACAAAAATTGGTCGGTTTACTATACAAGCATTAGACTATTTGACTAGATTGCTATCGTTTACTTTGGTTTTGATTTTGGTTTTTGAGGGCTGTGAGTAACTGATTGAGCTCCTTTTCGGAGCCGAAGCGAGCTATCCGAGAGTCATGTCTTAGGCCCTCCATTTTACTCTGCATAGGAGAAGTTCGAACAATAGTAGATCTTCGTAACTCATATTCACTTGTAGAAAAGAGAGACTCGGACCGGGGTCTTTTCATTGGCGGATCACACATGCAGTGCAGACAAAATCTACAACAGGACTGGCTCTCACCATCGTTCATTAGATTGGCCTTCTGTATGGTCAGTTCATAGTCCGGCTCCTTCTCCTTAATTCCGAACAAAAACTTCATTCCCTGAATGACCTTCCAAACGACTTCTCTCCGCAAGAGGATGTAGACCCAGGGATCGAGGATCTGGTTCAAGGACGCAAACCGGATCATAAGTAAATCTGTTTTTAAGTCCGGTTCCACACCCGTCTGGTTTATTAGTATGCGCACCTGGGAAAACACAAATCAATTCAAATGACTATAACAATGCATATTTTAGAACTTTAGGATTACAGCGGAATCATGCAATGGTGTCCTTGATTTTGCAAATCTTCGGTTTAAACTATCTTTTTGATTAACAGGATCTTGATTAATGGAATAAGTATAACATATACATGAAAGAAAATATGCAATGTAACGGATATACTACAGATAGATCATTTTGACTGATCAAGCTTGTATAGATATACAAACACACCATTTGTCCATATGTTGTCCCCAAAACGACCGAGAGCAGACTAGCGCGAAAATGTCCCTAAAATTGATCATTTCGCATGAAATATACTTCACGTTTGATATGCTGATTTGTGTAACCTTTTTTTATTATGTTGTTGTTTTCTTTTCAAAATTTGGCATCTGATATGTCGGAAACCAAGGGTAAAGTATACATTCCAACTACACAGTATATTAGAATGTCTGCAATATCCCATTCATCGGTTATTTAAAAAGCATTGTATCAGCAGACAATGTTATAACAAACATGTGTACCTCGAAAATGAAGATGTAAATAGGTTTTGAAAGTTTAAGAAAAATTAGTCGCCGAAAAACATAAATGTAGTATATGTCTTTCTTTGCCATTTAAACAAAGTAGACAGTGACCTGTTTGTGAGTACACTAACCTACTCATCAGTGTGGAGAGAACGTCCCTTTGACATCGACTGATTGTTTACATAACCTCTATACTGAGAACAGTGAATACAGACCTAATGGGGTCCTACGGTACATGTGCTGTAATGAATTCGTCTGTGATTATGACGAGCATGGTGAGTATGAACAGAAGTCATTAGATACTAATCACCAGTGCGTCATATTTGTCGATAGCAGATAACTTTTAATTACAATATTGAACTGATAAGTTGTGTTGAATATACTCTACACAACGAAATCGACAATGTCGTGCTGTTACATCACAGAGAAGTGACTGTCAAATTACGTTCGTCAATACCTAATTTGCTAATAGGAAATTTACATTGTAACATACATAAACAACGTGGTGATCGTTGTGTGTGTCCTTTCATATACGTCACAGGGAATTGATATATGTGTATGTCTATTGCTAGGCAAGGGGAAATCTACAACTGAGTCAGAAAAGTCCCATGTTGCTGTTTTATTGGAATATTATTGGATCTGAGTTAAGGAGATAGAAACAATGACATGCAATCACGTTTCCAGACATCCATGAGTTACATAACTGGCAGCACGGTGAAGCAGATAACAATTATCCTAATTTCCATTGACGACAATCGGCAGTTCAATAGAAACTAAGCTAAATCTGGAGCAAATGGGCATACATCTTTTATGATATGACAGTTCACGTCATCACCTTAAAAAACCCAACCTTGTACAACCGGGTCTGCAGTGGTATTATCACTGATTTGCCGATAGTGTCACCAAGTCAATTTTCTATCCTAAAAACGTGACGACGGGATTGGAAAAATATAACAGGCCTGCATTTTCCTCTGCTATGGTCGTGTTTGCTACGTCATGTCCGGTCGGAAAACTGATGAGCAAGCGTTAAGCATATGAACCCTTGAACAGTATACTCGTTTTTGAAAAGTAATCAGTCGGAAAACAAAGGGCATAGAAAGAGCAGCCTGTTTGATAAAAAAAACAACACTTTTAAATAAAGGGGTATGGATACAATAATATCACATTTATTAGACAATTCACTTTAATTGAAAAATCGTCATTGGAAAGACTACTAATTGCTGTTAACACGAGTTATCAGTTATGTAATACATACAGGTGTATGGCCTCATAACTTCTTTCCTTGTTAAAAATTACCATTCATGTCCTTACAATGAAAAATTAGGATTTTTCTCTCTAAATGATACGAAAACTTAATTTTAATTGTATTCGTTTGAAATCTAGTTTTTATGTAAACATTAGTTTGAAAATTTTGTATGAGCTTTATCAGACTGACGTTAAACAGTGGGTAGGTACATTTATTGAAATATCGTTTTTTCACCGATATTTCACACACAATTCTTCAATATATATTATTGACACCAATATAAGGTAACGCTTTAAATAGCATATCGGAAGCTAAAATACGATATAATTTATATACACATCTCTATGGCGTCATAATAATATCCATTGTTTAAATGCATATTTGTTTACTTGTTTACATTTTTTAGTAATGAAAGCATACAGTTGTTCATAGGAAACTTCAATACTGTTTATCTAAGCAAATCCCGACAGTTGTTTGATAGAACAGCCTGCAAGCATTGTGGATATGTATCGAAATAAAAACGCTTACTATTAGTATAAAATGTACTGACTTAATAATAAAATGTTTGAAGCTCTTAAAGATAAAGACTTGGTTTATAGCTCATACAGGCGACCTATCTGACACGCTACTGATTTAGTAGGCCTTATAACATGGCATGTGATATAAAAATATAAATTCATGTTGAATCTATTTTATACTATATTCCGTTGTCAAAGTTACCACGTATAAATCAAATGAGTATTGTAGCATTAAGTCAGTTTTAACTCAATGATCACATGCAACCATCAATAAAATGCAAACAGAACATTTCGGTTCATCTATTTGGTATTGAAGTCCCATTACCACAGTGTCAACACGTCCTGGACACGGAAGGGTAGAAATCAATGATGTGTCTAATTGTAGCTCTGGGTACCTAAACCCCATTAACTCGTACAGATACTCGAGGGATAAACTTAAGTTGGGCTCTCCATTCCATACACGCTAATTCTCATACCATTCATTGACAGGGTTGTAAAACAATCACTTTTAAATGCAAACTAAACGGTGATGGGCCGTTCAATCGGCAGTGGCTCGAGTTAAATGTCATGGTTAAGTACACATATCGGGTGCTGCATTTGCTGCCAGTATGGCGGGGGTCAGGTCGTTTTGTCTGGAGGGTGGGGGTAAAGCAGTTACGGGTACTGAAGCTGAGGCACAGACATGACACAAACTCAATAACAGGGGTCAATGTCTCCCAGGGAGAGCTGGCAGTTAATGGGGTATAGGGTACCAACAACTCTCGGATAAAGACACATTGATTTCTGCTCTTGCGTTTCAAGGGCATGTTGACATTTTGCTAATTGGACACTCGTTAAAAAAATGAAAAAAGTGGCATATACTTCAACGTTATCCGTGCGACTCTCATTTCAGTGTAGGTAGTCCTTTTCACTGGCATGCAAAACGTGTCTAGCGAGAACAATTGAATATTGGTTCCCGCAATTTTAGGCAATACACATGTAAATTGTATACGGCAGTCCTGCGTCATGCCATTAATAAATGGAGGATATTTAATGGTGTCTTCAGTAATAACGAATATATTTCACGAGTGTGGCTAATATTTTGTATATTTTTCACGAGTGCGCAGCAGCCTCCAGCACAGCATCCCGCCCGGTCACATTATACTGATAACGGGTGAACCAGTTGTTACCATTACTCTTAATGCTAAGCAGGGAATATCAGCTACAATATTTTAGAACTATTTGCTTTCCTCACCTGGGCGAACTTTAAACATTATAGCCAAAAGTGAGGTATTGCCAAGTAAGGTGCTAGGAATTAAAAGGTAGTGAGAAGTAAGAAGAAATATAAACATCCCAAGGATTGCAATGGGTGCAGCAGGCTATTTTTAATTGCTTTTGTGTCCCAAAGTAGAGGACACAGAATCGAATATATTCAAATATGCAGGGGATTAAAACACTCGTCGCCTCTTACGATACATGCAGTGGGTCACAGCCCTAGCATGTGGATTCTTTTCTCGAACACCGAACTGCAGGGGTGAATTTGATAGATACGAGCCTTATGGCATCTTTAGTCGTTATTACACGTGTGTATTACCATAATTACGACATGGTGGCCGTATCACAGGTAAATTTGGTCAGTTACGTGATAAACATGTTAACAGATTCTAAGGTCAGACTGAAACTTCATTCTTATTTTTTCACTCATACTTGACCATTGCTTAATAGGGAGACTACTGTTTATTCTTGATCTTCCTTTTTTAGAATCTGGTTATTCATCCAAATAAAGCATTCTTAATATAGTATTAAACTTGTCAGGATTGTATGAGGTATTAATCTAGAAAGAAAATATGTTCTTCTTTTTCTGTTGCGTTTATTGGTCCGTTATTGGTAAGATAATTGTAACTCACTAACCTTAAAGTAAATGTACAGTTGGCACCCAATTTAGAAAAAACTAAATGCATTTTAAATATATACTATTTAATTGTTCCATGCCAATCAAGGTCATTGGTTAAACGCAAACACCTGCTTGATGTGGCCAGAATGTTATTTCATCTGGATCAAGTTAATTTTGTATACACGTTGTGAGTAACACCATGGTCATACATCACAAGTTACTTAAATAATGCAAATAATGAATTTTCATTGAAACATGTTTAGATATTTAGTTATAAATGAGAATAAATCTTAGAAGATACAGTAAGTCAAAACACCACATACATCAGTACCAATTATTATACACTTTCGGTCAGAAGTATTGTATGGTGTGAATTTATTGAGTATCATTATAGCAATTATATTAATGATAAACCAATACATACCCATGTACCTACATTCGCATCAGTACCATCTATTGTAAACAGTGCTAAAATGTTCTTCACTCATATAACATAAAATACCTCTAACGGTATGATCAAGCTAACTGAATAATCTTGATTATATCTAAGTCACATGATTGTAGCTATATGTATGCCATGTGTGTTTATAATACGTCATACGTTTGTAGCTATACGTAAGTCATGTGTTTATAACTACGTCACATGATTGTAGCTATACGTAAGTCATGTGTTGATAACTACGTCATAAGTTTGTAACTATACGTATGTCATGTTTTTATAACTATGTCATATGTTATAACTTCACGTAAGTCATGATTTCTATATCTACGTCATATGTTATAACTAGATGTAAGTCATGTGTTTATAACTACGTCATATTTTATA